TATTAAGTCACAGCATGGGAGTGTATAAATATTTCTCAATTAAAAACTCTGAAGTCTAGCTGCGCTACTGTATCAGCATTAAAAATGCATCGATGTCGGGAGGAGAATGAGGGAAAGCAAGTTACGAATTGATAAGACATCGGAACTTGGAGTCTACATCTTTGAACCGTGTTTTTTATTTCCATCTTTCCCTCCTCCGATCAATGAGTTGCAACAGCTAGCACTTTCTGCTGTTTTGGAGGCTGTTACAAAATCTGGGGGATGTAAGGACCAGCCGAAACATGCTGTGCCTCTGTTCTTCGTGCCTTCTGATGTTTTTCACAGAATGTCCTACATTTTGCTGTTTCTTGCGTGAGCTGCCACTTTTTGTTGAGGCAAATGAGGAGTTTTGTTCCAGAAATGTGAAAACTGAGACATCAGCTTCTGCAGAAGAACTGAGAATCGAGTAAAACTCAATACATCTTGACAAAACAATTTAACTATTATGACATTAGTTAATATTTGGCATTTTAAACAGGAAGGATACAGTTGCTTTTTCTTCAAAACAAGATGCATGTCAAGTTAAAATGAAGGTCAGTGTGAAGTTAAGAGAAGGTTCGTTGAAAAGTACATTTTAATTTTGACAAATTGGGACATATACCAGTAATAGCACCTCCTGGATTCTTTACCATGGCCACCCGTCACAATTTCATCTTTGATGCTAAAATTAAAAAAACGTGAATTTTCATGTGATCCTCAAATTTTTTACTTTTTATTCAAAATTCTGCTAAATTTCAATTTGTATGACCAAAGTCAAGAGTTTTAATGCAAACAAGAATCTGTGCCGTAAAGAAAAATAATACTTCAGCTAAACAGAAACTACAATGTGAAAGAAAACGTCCAAAGAACTTAACGTTTTTACCTCGAAAACATTTGATTAGAACAGGGAATACGTTTTATTAAAGTTCAATTAATAAGTAGGGTATTTAGCTAGCGGATAAGTAAACACAAAAGATAAACTGAGTAAAAAGCAATAAAACAGAAATACACAATGTGTCAACTGTGCATGTGTTGATTTGGAATTTTCTAGAATTTTACCTAAATCTGGAACGGAATATGAAAAATAAAAATCATTGATGTTTAAGATGTTTTGTAGACTGCTGCAAAAATATGTTCTGATGTTAGCATGCTAGCACACTTTTCTTCTGCTTTTCTTTTCACCAAGTGATGCAACAAATATAGACGCACAATGAGTCCACACAGTTCGGTTTTCGCTAATGCAAAGTCATTTTTGACCAACATTCTGGGGCTCCGAGTTAAATTTAACTTTGAGTTTTGACTCAGATTGTTTTCAAATTAAAAGTTTTGTGCTGGTTTAACTTGGATGTTGTTGTTGGACAATCAGGGGAAACAAATCCTATGAGGAAAACTGGATGTGACAGTAGTCAAGTCAACTTTATTTATAAAGCACATTTAAAACAGCAGCTGTTACCAAAGTGCTTAACAGTAAAATCAATGGGAGTCATTTCATGGAAAACAGTAACAATAAAAATCGTGATAGTACTGAAAATTAATTTCAAGGATCAAAAGAAAACCAGAGAAAGGCAGAGCAGTAGTACCATAATACCATTTAAAAGTAATTTAATGCACTTAAAAACAAAGTTTTAAATTGGTCCTCACATGTGTAAATGTGAACAATCACTTTTTTTGTTTCTAAAAAAGAATACATTGCTCATATTAGTTAACAGAAAATAATAACTTAAATGTCCACATTTCATATGTAATGGTATCACTTTGCTAGTTCAAACTTCTAAACCAGTTATATAGAAGACAATTGATTATCTTCTAGGTTAAAAAGGGTACGAATATGCAAAATAAAACACTTGAATGTTCATGTTGAGTTTTCCTTAGAACAGCAAACAATATAAATAGTTCTTTTGTATCATTTTGTAATGTTTTATGATTCATAAATTAGGTTGCTCTTGTTAAGAATATTTACATATATTACTAAATTAAACCTCTATCTTTTGGTTAGACTCTTCCGTTTATGATGAGAGCTTTCAACAAACGTATATCAAACTCCAGTGTCTTACAAAAAAAAAGAAAATAATTTACAAACTATGTTTTATCTTGTGATGAACTTGGTACCTGTCCAGGGTGTACCTCACCTCTCACAGGGACTGCTAAGGATGGGCACCAGCTCCCCGCCACCCGAAAAGGAAAAGCTGGAGAAGAAGATGGATGGATGGATGGATGGATGGATGGATGGATGGATGGATGGATGGATGGATGGATGGATGGATGGATGGATGGATGGATGGATTAGGCTATACAAAAACAAATAAGTCACGAATGCTCAATATCTTGTGTAACTACAACACAACTTAGTTCTCCATTCAGCCACAGTTTGGGGTGTTTTGATTGTTTTCCTATAAATTTCCATGTTTCAGTTTTTGCATCTGTTTTCAGTGAAGTTTATTTCTGTACGGTTTTTCATTTTTAGCTATCAGTGTTACATTGTTACGTGTTACACGTGGAAGTTCTAGGTTTCTGTTCTCCTGCTCATAGTTTCCCACAGCTCTTCTGTTTTGCCTTGTATTACTCACCCATCAGCTATTTGCAACTCACTCACCTGCTTTTTAATTGAGTCACCAAGTAGAAAAAAGTTGTTTGTTTTCCTTCATTCTCTGGCAGAACCTCATTTGTAACTCTCTTGTTCTGTCTTTTGTATCTCCACTTGGTTTTATTTTCATTTAATATATTTTTTTTTTTGGAATGAAACCTGCCTGCATCATTGGGTCCATAACCAAACAACCAAAAACATTTGTTACACAATCAGGTATAATGGAAAAAGGAAGTGAAAAATAAACATTTGCTTCTCCCTAAATCAAGATGCAAAATTAAGGGTCAAACTTATCACTTGCCTTTTATGCCAGAGTTTTAGACTAACATAATTATGTGTTAAGAAATTAGGATGTTATAGCTGTTTTGGTCGAACCTTGTAAATAATATACAAAATCCCATGCAATACTGTGAGATGTATTAGAGCTTGAAGTGTTGGAGATGTTTTTTAGCTACTTCACTCCAACACTAGCTCAGTAGTTATATAAGTGAACGTGAGTTATAGCAATGTTGGGGTTTGGTAAGTTTGCTCAGCTGAGGCAGCCATGTTGAACTGGGTTGATGCCAAACCTTAATGAGTATATACTGGTACATCCAACGCATGCTTTCTGAGAATTTCACTAAAATCAGTCCAATGGTTCATAACAAAAAAAAAATAATCCTAACGAAGTGTTGACTCCAGCAGTTAAACTTTAATGCAAGGATACAGCTCTGCATATTCGTTCAACCTTTATTTATACAGGTTAATTCCATTGAGTCTCGGGGACTCGTAGCGCTCAGAGTAGATGTTGTGAATGACTCTTAACTACTACCACACAAATTTTTTTGTTTAAAATTGATTATTAAAATTAAGGTCTATAATGAAATTATCAGTCAGAGTCAGAGATTCTTTATTGTCATTCGCACCTCATGTGGTACATGTGGCGGAGCGAAATTATGTACACAGGGTCCCAGTTACATCCAATCCAAAATTATAACCATTTATGTTTCTGTTGTCAGTTGGCTGTGGTGTCCATCCTAAATTGGGTTGACTCCAAAAGTCAATCAGTCGTAGATTTCCACCTAATGGTTCCTTTCTGTTTGGTAACTCTAAATTGTCCCTAGGTGTGAGTGAGAGAGTGAATGGTTGTTTGTCTCGTTTGTCTCTGTGTGTCCCTGTGATGGACTTGCGACCCGTCCAGGGTGTACCCCGCCCCTCGCACAGTGATTGCTGGACATGGGCACCAGCGACCCCCGTGACCCAAAAATGGAATAAGCGGGTAAAGAAAATGGATGGATGGATGGGTTCCTTTCTGTAAGTTTCATTAGAAATTGCCCAGTGGTTCACGAGATATTTTGCTAACAGACAGAGTGTTGACTCTAATAGTTAAGTGGGAAAACTTTAAAACAGATTTTATGTAATATATTTTTGGTATTAGCCCCGGCTACTTCCACACCAAATTTGAGCAGAATAGCTCTAAAACTGACTGAGTTGTCATTTTTGTGGCAGCCATCTTGAATTTGGCAGACTTCAGACGTCAACCGGGGCGTGGCACCACAGAGGTTAGAGAAGGTAGGCCTGTGATCGGAAGGTTGCTGGTTTAACACCCGACCGACAACATCAAAATGTGGATGACACCCTCATTTGCCCCACCCTGGGCCCCTGAGCAAGGCCCTTAACCCCCACCATCTGCTCCCCTGGGTGCCCTGGATGGCAGCTCTGTACTCCACACAGAGGGCTGTGGTAGCTCGGTGGTCTGGTTGCGTCAGGAAGGGCATCCGGGTAAAAACAATTAGCAAGTCTTTGTGTGAGTTAGTTCGCTGTGGTGACCCCTGAAGAAGGGAGCAGCCGAAAGAAGAAGAGCAAGACGAACAAGTAGAAGAGTCAACCAGTTGCAGATGTGTATCCAAAGATGGCCTTCAGAGTCTTCTTAAAATCCGTCCACTGGCTCATGAGATATTTTGTCAACAGGCAAAAACACAAATCATCCCGCCTTCACCTTTCAGCGGCGGGCGATAACGAACCCAGCTGTCCTGGCGGCGGCGGGCCGTGGATGTTGTTGTGCACGCGGCTCTGGGAGCCATGAATAATGCCTGTTGATGTGAGCGCAGGAAGGTGATGTCTCTTTAAGAGGCTCAGCCCTCTGCAGAATCAAACGTACAACCCCCCTACAAGTCATCGGACCTGTCAATCAAGCGGTCGGCGCCCTTTGAAGTCGGGACTCCTCGCCTTGTCTTGGGCTCAAATGAGCTGTTTGCTGTTGTAGTGAAACATTAGTCTTCGAGCAGCCGGGGGGGGAGCACGCCACATCTCAACTTTTCTCTGTGTGGTGGGGCTTTCTCTACTTTGGAGGCGCTTCAAACTGACGGTATTTATCCGGGAAGTCACTTTTTTTTTTTTTCTTGTCAACACTTTTTTTTTTTTTTGGGGTTAAATTTCTTTTGAACTTTGTTTTTTTATTTTTTATTATCGTATATAAAAGTAGAAGGTGCAGAGGGGTGGGGGAAGTGGTAGACATGCCTCAGCTCAGCAGCGGCGGAGGAGACGACCTGGGAGCGAATGATGAGATGATATCGTTCAAAGACGAAGGGGAGCAGGAGGAGAAAATCCAGGAGAACGCGTTCACGGAGAGGGACCTGGCCGACCTCAAGTCCTCCCTGGTGAACGAGTCGGAAATAAACCAGAGGGAGGTAGGTGGGAGCAAACGCGTCTGAAGTTCCCGATGGGGCAGAGACGTCCCAAGAGAAACCCGCTCGGAAAGCGTTTAAAGTGTCTGCGTGCTGCTGGCACGCGGGTTTCTGTTGGTCTCACCTCTGTCCGTGTCTCTGTCCCTCCCCAGGCGCTCAGGCGGGGACAGCAGGGCGAGCAGAGGGTCTTCCCGGACAAACACCGACAGCATCTCGACGGAGGTACGACCAAAAAACACAAAAACATCTCTCCAACTTGCTCCCATCTGATTTCAGAGACCAAAAGGGGTAAAAACAAAACACCCGCCGTGTGAAAGTAAAAAAAACAAAAAGGAGGTATTTTGGTCACGAGGGCACGTGCTGAAGCTTTAACTTCAAAGACTTGAAATACATGTGTCAAACTGAAGGCCCCCGAGCCAAATCTGGTCCTTTTTAAACATCTTATCTGGCCCTCCCAACACTACTGTATGTTAAATGCATTTGTTTTTTTAATCTTTTTCTCATTTTGCTTAAAACATTGATAGGTTTAGTTCAAGCTTATTCTCATTATTATATAGCATGTAGAAACAACAAAAAGCAGACCAAAGTGCTTTACAGTTTAATCAAATTAAAGTGAAAACAAGGTTGAAAGGTTGAGTTTTTCAGTCATCTTTGATTTCGGATGTGGAAAGAGCAACAGTGAATGTAAAATGAGACCGATGGAACTGCAACCACGAAACGACGTCGGGTATTGACTGAAACTGGACAGTGGCTTTGGCCCCTTTTGTAACTATTTGACACCCTTGAGATGTCCAAATTCCCACCTCCACTAAAAATAAAAAAAAATTTAATAGCAATGATTCTGCTCAGTAAAAGTACACTATTTTAAAGTTTATTCAAAGTTTCAATAAAAAGGTAAAAGTATTTCATTAAGAATGGTGCAAACATTCCAGTTTTATTTGTATTCTAGAGACTTTTTAATAGTTTTCCACGAAGCTTTAAGACTTTTATCTTAGTTTTTTTTTTTTCCTTTACCACCCAAAAAGAACAGAGTGACTTCCCTTCCTCCATGTAGGCACGTTTTGAAAGTGTATACTTCACTTGGCAGCGTTAATTATAGGTTGTAGTCGGTCGTGGAACTCATTTCAGGCTTCGGTAAAAGGGGAAAAAAAAGTTACATTATTATCCTTCGAGTGAAATCTTCCACCTCGTCCAGATTTGTGGTTCATTTAGGTTTTATTTGCAAATTGAATTTGACATTTACCCCCTCCCAAGTTCGTGTTGATTGTATTATTTCTGAGTCTGTCCGCGATAAAAGTTTTAATGACGACTGATGCTGGCGTTTTGTCTCGTAGTTTCATTTGTTGCAGGTCGTCCTATCTGAAAGGCCTCAGGCTCTATAGTCGGGTGGTGGTGAAAATAAACACTCAGGCTCCTGAAGTTCACGCCTCTCGAGGCTATAGGTGACAACTGTCACCCCCAACACCCCCCTCCTCCCCCCCATAAAGTATTATATCACGTCTGTGCTCAAATGAGGATATAAACATGATGCAACGGCTCAGTAATCGTTCACCTGCTTTGCACGCACGTTTATTTTGGATGTCTGCTTTTTCTTTTTGTTAAACCTCTTAGCCGTGTTGCGCGAGTAAGTGTCACACGCTTTATTTACATCCTCGCATCTAATTTTTTCCATCCACAGCCCTAATAGTTACTTTTGCAACTTTTTATTTTACCTTAAAGTTCATTTTTAAGCAATACCGTTCTCGTGTTTAGATTAAAACCTTAATTTAACCTTCTATTTTATAACTATTGTTTACTTTTTTCTTTTTTTTTTTTTTCAGTGTCGAAGCAGCAAGATGGAGGCATGTACAAGTCGCCGGCGTATCCAGGCTACCCATTCCTGATGCTGCCAGACCCTTATCTCCCCAACAGCTCAGTTTCTCCATCTGTAAGTCCAGTTTTGGTCTGTTTTCACTTCTGGATGCTCTGCAATGCTCACTGCTGTCACTCACTGAGGGAGATCATGTCTGCCCTTCTTATTTGCTCCTACAGGCCTCCTCTTTTCTGTTATTTTAACTTTCAACTCGCATGTTGTGGTTTTGAATTTTGACAACATGGGGTTTTGGTGATCCTGCTAAAGGAGCTCATAATAACAGAGGAAATAAGAAAAAGAAAAACACTCGAATGAAATGGAAATATTTTACATTAAAGCCTATACATTTAGTTATTTCAGTAAGTCCAAACATGGACTTAAACATTAAGTGTGTTATTTTCTGCTATTTTTATAAAGTAAAGACATTTTATGTTTAGATTTTGAATACATTTAACGTATGCTGTGCAGAAAATGTCCTAAAATCAGTGAGTTTTTCGTCCCTATAAGATCCGATCACTGCACTGTTGCTGCAACCAAGAAGCATAACATTATACAGAATTTTAAACGCCTCTCCTTTCATGCAGTGTTATATTCAATTATTTAACATCAGCTGTATGAAGGTTATAATGATGTCCACTGACCAATAATTAAAAATACTTGTAAATACCTTCTTATTTTATTTTTTTTTTTTTCAAATCTCAATGCAGAACTGGTCATCTTCTTGTACACAAACTGGTTAATTTTGGTTTAATTAAGGCTGATCTGAGATCAGAGGGGGCAACAGATTTGACTCCGTCACACAGATGCGACAGTCGCCTCTCTGCAAGTCGATCGCAAACCTTCACGTGCTCTGACTTGTGCTGAAATAAAACTGCATCAAAAACGGAGTGAAATCTGTTCAAAGTGCTGCAGCTGGAATAAGCTTGCATTTGTTTATGAATTGCTAAAGCTAAGCAACTTTTAGAATTGTTGCACGTGATGTTTTTCCGTCTCTTCACGCCGAGCATGAAGAGCGTTGTCTCAGCCTTGGTAATACCGTAGATCAGTTCAACCACTGAAGCAAGCACCAAAAACACTTGGGGGTCGGTTTTAAGAAGCCACTATGGGTCATCTGATCTCATATCTATAAAGAAAACTGACAATGTTCCTTTAAGTCATCTGTAAACGACTGCATGCTGACAAGCTGCACTAAAGAGAAGCAGTTTTAACTAATTTATAGTTTGCCTTCTGCGTAATCCTGTTGTTTGATTGAACTTACAGCTTAAACACAAAATACTTTTCTGAACAGCTTTAATTTAAGACACAAGAAATTAAAGCCCTGCTGTAGCCCATATTCCAAGTTCTTGTTATCTTGAAGATACTGAGCAGCTGAAAAGTTTATTTAACTTCTGTTTAAACAAAGAAGTTGAGTAGTGACACATTATGTTTGTGTTTAAATATGTTTATTAGTTTCTGTGGAGAGCAACACGAGTTCAGCGCTTTTGTCCTAGCTTTTTCTCTTACCGCCCTTCGTGTTGGTTCATTTTGAAAACGTATAAGGATCTAAAAAAAATCTTAAGTCGTTGCAGACTCTTCTAGGAAAAAATCATTTCAAAGCTCAAGTTTTCAAGTTCCAGCTTGTAGATTGAGTGTTTTCTTATTGTTGCTGTAAAAGTTAAATCTTGTCATCTTGTTGCTTTTACATGTCGGTCAAGGTTTTGTTCACTTCACAGTAGTTGGAGTTGCTCTCAGAGAAAATAAAAAGTTCAGGTTGTGTTTAATGTTTTTTTTTTTTTTTTCTTGGAAAGATAATCCTTAAATTAGAATTCTTGTTTACATGTTTTCCTGTCGAAGTTGTTTGTTTTGAGACAAGTGCAAGTTTGCACACCAGCATCTCGTGTTTTCTCTGAATCAGTTATTCAGACTCTAACTCCATGATTGAGGGGATGTGACTGATTAAAATATGAGTGTGTGTCTATTTCTCCCTGAATGTACTTGTCGATGCATAAAGCTTCACATCTGGCGTCATGTTTGACAAACGCCGTGAGCAAGCGTGATGGTGTTCGTAGACTACACGAGTATTTGCTCTCCTCTTTTTCTTCTTCCCCGTTCAACCCTGGAGTGCCGACCGCAGAAGCCTCGCAAAAATCGCTCGTATTTGGAGGGAGCGACGTGGAGGTGGGGGGGAGGTTGTTATTGCTGCTGCCAAGATAAAGAGCACTTTCTTTCCCTGTGTGTCTTCGAGACTCCACACAATGCTCACTTGTTGCTGCTTCCCTTGTAATTAGCCCGCTAGTTGTGAGGCAGAAGCTGCGTTTCGGGCCCCAGCTACCTGCCACTTGAAAGGGGTGAGAACAGTTGTGGAACGGGTGGTGTGGTGGGGGGTCTGCGATGATTATGGATGGAAGAGATGAATCAGAAACTATAGGTCTCGGAGACTGACAGGGAAAATGACTGCTTTTTTCTTGTGTTGTGGTGTTAGCATGACACATGTTGCGTTTCTGTGCGTGTCCACGTCTGATGCTGAGCTCTCCCGACTCCCCTCTGGTTCTTTCTCATTTTCAGAGGATGTTAGATGATCCTTAGACAAATATGTTTTTGTGTCAAACCTCAGCAATATTTAATTTAATTGCAAGAGTGAAACGTAGGTTTCACTGAACTTTTCATCCCTTTTCTTAACAGTTACTTTGATTTGGTCACCTTGTCTGCCTAGTGATACGACTAGGACTCCAAGCTGTGTTTATCAAACCAGGATATATCTTAAAAATTTTCATTTGATGGCTTAGATCCAGGGTCTGCAATCTTTACATTTTAAAATGGATCAATTTGACCAACTTTCCCCACTAAATAAAGCTTTTATAGAGCCACAAAATACTTGACCTTAAGTAAACCACGCCTGGTTTAGATGATAGAGATGAACGAAGATGGGGTGAGGAAAACATGGGTTTATTGTAAATGACATCATTTTTAATTTTAAACAACAGCATGCACATTGCACATTATTTCCATATCATTCACTTATTTGATTCCATATTTATTTACTCCAGAGTCCTGACCTAGATATTGATAGATTCAGTCCACATCAGACTAGATTACAATTGATCTCATTTGGCTCAGCAGCATTTCAAGTGCTGAAGTAGAGCTGGACGATGTATCGACATTTTAAAAACATCAATATAATTTTTTTGCGATATAAGTTGAGACTATCTCGATATGTAACAATATAGTTTTACACTTGGAAATCCTCCTGCCGTCTTCTTTCTCCCACTCGCCTCCCTCCTCCCTCCTTGAACACAAACACACAGCCCTCAGCCACGCTCCCCCTCCCCTTCCTTCTTCTCCAAGAGGTGGGCAGGCAGCAGAGGAGACGTTTAGCGACAGTAAACATGAGCAGCTAATGTGAATTTATCTATATAACCTGTAAATTGGTTTGTATATTTAGACTTTTTTACCTTGTGTACCATTGTATAATTATATTGTTCTTTTCTACACTTGTATACAATTTACTTTTGTACCTGTTAATGTACCCCTGGCAGACACTTGTTGGTAAAGTTGATAAAGTTTTGTAATAATTTTTTTTTTTTTTTTTTTTTTTTAAAGCTGGGCGTGTGTGGAGCTACAGGTCCAACAGACTTGTCTCATTCCTTGAAATAAACCATGGTTCAGAACTCATTTAGCCGTAGTGTGCCTTTTAGAGGAACAGAGAGAGGTAGTAACGCGACATTAATAAATCAGCAGTTTATCATCACCAAAGATACGGTCCTTAGTGGCTACCAAGACGGCTAACGCTTTAGCCGTCTTGTTCCACAACTGAGACGGGACCGTGTCTTAGCTATATGATAAAGCTGCTGATTTATTAATGTCGCGCTACCTCTCTCTGTTCCTCTAAAAGGCACACTACGGCTAAATGAGTTCTGAACCGTGGTTTATTTCAAGGAAGGAGTTGGGTCTGTCTGAGCTGCAGCTTCAAGGTTCCAAGTGGAGGCTCATTACCGCAGTTCACACACGCTTACTCACGTGAAGGCGGTACAGCTGAATGGACTGCACTTGCATAGAGCCTTTCTATCTTATCAAGACACTCAAAGCTCTTTACAACACAATCTGTGCATTAATTTACCCATTCATGCCCTCTACTAGATCTCTACAAAGAATAATCAGTGCTTTATCACATTCATACACCGATGGGACACACATTAGAGGCAGTGAGGAGTTCAGTGTTTCACTCAGGAACACTTCAGCATGTAACTGCTGGTGGAATCGAACCCCCAACCCTCCCATTAGACGACGACTGCTCTAGCCTCTCAGCCACAGCTGCTCCCAGCTGAAGAGGATTATTATTTAATATATGTCAATAGTTTATTTTTAGGCATTTATTTTGTACAGTTACAGCTGTTGTTAATAAATGTGGCTGTGTGACAACTGGGACAAAATTGACTCGGAAATATATTTTTGCTAATTTATGGAAAGAAAAAATATCAAGATGTATATCGCGATTTATCTGAAAAATATCAAGATATAAGTTTTGGCCCAAATCGCCCAGGTTTATGCTGAAGGGAACTTGGTAAAAGTGGAAAATCAAATCAGTAAATACATTTGATAAAAAAAAAAATTGATCACAATTTCTAAAGGAAAGACATGTTCTGTTTTCATCACCTGTTAGACAGCTATGATGCTTCAATATTTTGTCCTATTTTGACTCAGAACCACTTCATTTACAGCCAGGGAGGGACTAAGCAAATAACAATTTCTCTGAATTTTTGTTTGTTACTGTAAACAGTTTGAAACTGCTGAACTCATTGTGAGAGCATCAGCTGAGAGACTGAAAGTCTTACAAAAAGTTCAACAGTTTTCTTTGGGTTTTCCTCCCCTGGGTGAAACGTGTTGGTTTATGTCCACTGCAAAAGTCAGGTCTAGAGTTTATAAGTGGGTTTTGTTGCTTTGTTTTTTACTTTGTGTAGCTTCAGTTTGGCCACAAAAACAAGTTTCCCAGAAATAAACTGTCTGAGAAACCCAAATGCAGCTGAACGACAGCTGTTATTGGTCTAAAATATTGTGCTGTTTTTACGTTAAACTAAAACTAAAACAGTGTCTGAAAT